ACACTACTCCACTGGTACAAAAATGGGGTCTTGCCCTGAGGTTACTGAGTCCTTTGGACTTAGCTCCATTTACAATTTGCATTGTTCCTTTCTCTTCAAAATGTACATTTTATATTTCCCTTTCTCCAGCTTGCTGCTTTAGATTATAGATCTGTGTAAGACTAATTACTAATAACTACACAACACAGTCAATACTACCCTGTCTTGAAATGTCCTGTGCCAAACCCATTAGTCCAAAATACTCCAATTTAGTCTTTAGTGGAGGTGGCATCATCATCATCATCATCATCATTTTGAAATAGGGCAAAATGTAGTCATACTCTTTGTCAAAATATCACAAGAATGATCTCTTCCCCCTCTTAACCCTTTGGAGCCAGGCTATCATAAGCTGCACTATCCTCAGTATCACTGTCTTCCATATTCTTATGAATATGCCCCATTAAGCTCCTCTTAAAAGTTTCAACTGGTTCCCTAATCCAAAAATACCAAAGTCCACATTCTTCTAATAAACAGAATAGTCGGGCCTGTCACAGCCATATCCTGCTCACTGATATCAATTTCTGTGTAAGTCACTGTCATATTACTTTGAAGACACATCATGAATACAGTAACACTTATGTAACAAAACATTTAATTAAGGGCTTGCTTACAGTTTCAAAGGTTAGGGCATTATCATCATGGTAGGGAGCATGGTGGCAGGCAGGCAGGGTGATAGAGCAGTAGATGAGAACTATATCCTAACTTGTAGGCCAAGAAAAAGAGAAAATGTACACTTGACATGGGCTTTTGAAAACTCAAAGCCCACCCCCAGTGATGCACTTCCTCCAATAAAGCCATACTTCCTAATCCTAACCTATTCAAATATTGCAACACCTGGTGACTAAGCATTCAAATATATGAGCCTATGGGGGCCATTTTTATTCAAATCAACACAATATTGGTATAGAAAAATACATATATGCTTGCAGTAACAATTAAAAAAAAGCCATAAGTTTGAAAAAAGTGAAGCATGGTGAGCAGCTATGGGAGACGCTGTGAGGGCACAGCTCACTGTGCCATGCAGTGAGTGCCTGGCCAGAGCACCTAGAGAATTGTTTTTCAGATGCAGGGGGATGAGTGTGAGCAGCACTTATAGAGCAGAGCCATCCTTGAGCATCTTCAAAGACCTTTGACTCTGCACCTCTTCCTTACCGAAACTCCACTGTACAATCTACTCACACCCATCACCACACAAAGCCGAAAAAAAAAAAAACACCCATAAGAGCCAAAATATTGTTCCTCATTTTCTCCAAAATATAGAATCCATCTAAAAAATTAATTTTCAATAAACTGTTGTTTTAAACATATGTATATACCTACATACACACATACATACATACACACACACACACATACACACACACACACACACAGATAGAAAATTCTGGAGATAAATGTATTTCTAAGTATTACCTACCAACTGCACCAGCATTAAAAGAACATCAAATGATTCACATAGAAAAAAAATAAAATAAAAACCAGAAAAAAATCAAATAAAAATCCAAAAGCTATACATAGAAAGATATAATTAAACCTACATTATACAATCCTACATAGAACATAGTTATTAATGTGTGTAGATGTGCACTAATAATTAGCTCGTACAATATCAACTTTTTATATTTCTAAGGATCAAGTGTGACCTGTGAAAGCCTCTCCATCAGCTCTGTATTTGATTGTAGGACAGGTTCTATTGGAAGCACACACTCCAATTACTATCACCATGAGCATGCATTCCATTTCCTCACTTCCTGCTAAACAGTTAGCATACGAATTATGTCTTTTTTTTCTGGTGACTTTAGGCACTGGTGTCAACTTTAGAATACTGACATATTTTCAGATTATAAAAAACTTACCAGTATCTTGTTTCCTCAATATTTCCTTAGGAAAAAACCCAAATATTTACTCAGTCTAGAATTCACTGTCATATAGAAAGCAAAGTCTTAATATTATCTTCATCCAAACTGGCAGAATATAAGACAACTTTATTGAAAATTATTTTTATGGAGAAAAAATTGTTTCACAGATCTTGAAATACTTATAGGTGTTTACATGCCACTCCTTTAACATTATTCTATCCTAGTTCGAAGGGCTATTGCTTATCTTGCTTTATAACATTTCGTGTCTAGTAGGTAAAGACCACACTTAATGTTTTACATTTTTAGTAAATAGTGTCTAAATTTGCTTTAGTGTCAATTTTAGAATTAATTAATATATTTTCTTATGAAACTCACCTGATGTTCATACTAATTTGATTAGTCTTGAAAAGGTTCTCTGCACCTCAAAATATTCCCATCCTGTTAGGCTTGTATGTTACTCTATGACGGATTTGTCACATTATCTCCACTAATTATTTGATAAATATACACAGAAAGAAATGTCTGATGCTAATAAGATACTCAGATATGTTATAGCAGTAAAAACACACTCAGGAAACATGTCTGATTACTACAATTATAATTTTTTCTTAGGAAATTTTATTTATTAAATAAGACTTCTTAAATAAATAAATGGTGATAATAAGCATTTTAACCTCTGATGTTAATATAAATTCAAGTGTTTTAGAATAACACTGTTAAATTTATATTACCTGCTAAATTTCAAATAAGCGCTTTTAATCCTATTATTAAAATATTATTTTACTTACATTTTAGTGAATTTTGTTTTTAAATCAAGAATGGAGAGTATATGTTATATAATGTCCTTATAAAATACTACAAAATAGTTTCTCTCATTTACTCAATTACTAAGAAAGTCAAATATTTTAAAGAAAGAGATTTTTTAAAATCTGGAACCATCCTTGCATTTCTATAATAAATCCTAGAGAGCGGTCACTAAATTTCTTTCTTATAACACTTATAATTGACATTCAATTGTAATTATTTTTCCAACAATTATGAGCTTGCTTTGTATATTTCTAACAATTTACTTATTTTTATGCTTTGTTTAAAAGTGTTTTGCCTGCATGCATGTAAATGCATTGTGTGTGTTCCTAGGGCACAGAAGCCAGAAGCTAGCATAGATGGGTACTCCAACATGTGGTAGTAGGAACCAAACCCAGGTACTCTGCAAGGGCAGAGCGTGCTCTGAGTCACCTAGCCATCTCTCCAGTTCCAGGGTATCTTTTCATGTTTGTGTTATTGTGGTAGATTTGCCTTGTCTTGTTATTAGAGTGAAGTGGTACCCCACAGCATAATTTTCTGCAACTCAATCCTCCTATTAAGCACAACTAGGAGAAGTAAAAAATACACTATTTTTCTTCAAAGATATCAGAATACTATGAACAAAGAAGACTAAAAAGAGAAAAATCATAGAAAAGGCAGAACCTTTTAAAAGTCATCTGAGGGTCACCAGCTGTCCTTGGCAGCACTGGCCAAACCCCATCATAGGCAATAAACAGAGAACCAGAATCAGGTCTCAGGGTCCCAGGAAGAGAATAGTTATTACAGAGCTAAGACACTTTTTCATTATTTCAAAGGGCTAGATCATTAAAATTAGAGATCTGAGAAACAAGTTTTCCAGCATAGCATTTGTTAAATTTTAAACCTTAACAGCTGAGGAAAATAAAGGTTTATGCCAAAATCTTAGAAAGACAGAGTAAGATTTTCCAAAGTCTCACAGTGGCTCAGACATAGAGACTCAGCAGAGGACAACTGTGTAAGAATCTCTGGTAGGCTGTTTTTTAAATCCATTTGAGTTACAGTATCAAAACACCACAGACCAGGTAGTCATAAACAACGAGAATGCCATTATCAGGTAGCTCGTAAACATCAGAATGTTATTTCCACCAGTATTGGAACCTGGGAAATATAAGATGCAGTTGATAACAGGTTTGGTGTCTGGTGAGAGCTCATTTGCAACTTCAGGATAGACGTATTCCTGATGCATTCTCTATTATGATAGAAGAAACAGAAAGATTTCTAGATTTACTCATGTAAGCCCCTGCTCATGGCCATCACCTCCAGGGGCCATTTCCTGCCATCACAGAGGTAATTAAACCCAACATAAGAATTTGAGGTGTACAAAAACACTCAGAAGATAGAACAAATTAAAAGGCTAGGGAGTGTTACACAGACACCTACAGCTTACAAGTTGACTTTGGGGGTTTTGTTATTATAGTTTTTAGGTATTTTTAACTGTATATCACTATACTGCTAATACTTTCTCAGTTATCTATCTGAAAAAGGCAGAAGACTAAAAGGCAGAATTTTCTACAGTTATCTTTGGTGCTGAAGACAATGACAGGCCTACTCTAACCAATGCCCTATAGTACTTTAACTAGCAACAGGGATGATTAAAGGTAGTTAAGAACCGCAACCTAAGTGCCTGTGACTAAGGATTAGCCCAAATACAACCCATCAACTCACTAAGGGAAAGAACTAGATAGAAAGATTTCCCTTAGACAGCAGAATCTATGCAGTTTAAATACAATGTCTAACAAACAAAAAATACTAGGAAGAAACACAAACATTTAGCTAAAAATCAAATCCATCAATAGGCACATAATAAGTTAAACAAATATAACTTGAAATGATTGTGACTAATATAATCAAGAAAACAACTACAAACTAGATTAAAAGATAGAGAGGTTCATCAAAAACTTTCAACCCATAAAAAAAATCAAAAGATGTTCTAAAACTAAAAGAAACAGACTTTGAATGCTAACTGGCAAGTCTCTTTATACTCTTTACAAGGTATCTGTCATGTCCAATACTAATGACTTTGAACTCTGAAGGAAGACCTGGGAGTATAGAGAAATTGCAGAAACCTTTGAAAACAAATGATTATGGGAGGCCTCGAAATCCATGTAGGGATTTATACAGCCACTAGGTGCTCTTAGACATTAAAGAGGTCACCGGAAACTTAAATCAGAAATGAGAACTTTAGTAAAGCTATCATGGGCATGGTTCAGGGCATGGTTTTCCTACTCTGAAGGGAAAAATAGAAGAACCGTCACTTACAGGAAGATGTGTGAACACAGCAAAGGTGCTCCGAAGGAAGGCAATGAGGTCTACTAAGTAATCACTAGCTTTGTTGTCTAGGTCTCCTGTCATCCAGTCGTAGTCAGCCAGCTGCAGAAACTGGTCAATCTTCTGATTTAAGTTTGTATATATCTCTTCTTCAGCTGCATGTCTAGCATCCTGTGAAATAATAGTTAAGTTTAAAAACACATTGATATGGCTGGGGTGGAAAAGGCAAACATATATGTCACGGAGCCACCACATGTCTATGTCCACTTAGCAACACAGCTCTGAGTGTCGAATCACATCAGCTTCCAGGAGCACTTCTCTTTCACAAAGCACAAAGGAACCTTTCCTAATCAATTTTTTTACATGTGTTCACAGTCTCTCCCTCCCTCTCTTAAGGGAAAGGTTGAATGATCTTCAAGAAAAGCTATTCTTTTTCTTCAGCAAATAAGAAAAATCTATTCACATAGAACCGGCAGTCTATTCCCTTTTATTTTCTCATGTCTATTAAAAAGTAAATTTACTCTAAGAATTTGATTCCCTTTTGACTCTCTGTTTGACTGCAAAATGGCTCTTTTCTACATTCTCAAGCTTCCTACATCCTCCAGCGCATTTAGCTGCTTATAAATCTGCCTAGGTTGTAACTTGATTGTTCTCACTGGGGACTGTCAGAGCTCTATGCTTTCTTCATCATAAGGTTTATTCAAATATATTTGTGCCATAAGATATGTTCTGTACAGCACAATCCTAAAAAAGATGCCCAAACAGCACTAAACAGGTCCTAGATCACAAATGTTGTGTTGTACTGTGTAAGAGATTCATTTACACACTACCTTACTCAGTAAAATTGTTCAATTTGTTTTTCTAGGAAAATGAAAATGCATTATGGACAAAACATCAGGATGCTAATACTAAAAAAAATGCCATAAACAACTTGTTACCACATCTGATACTCATCTTTCAGTCTGAGCTGGTTTCATTTCTACTGAACACTCTACCTTAGTAATCTCCCTCTCACAACCTTCACTGTATGACGCAGCCATGGCTTGTAGTCACTCTAGTTTCAAATCTTCTCAGTTTCTCTGAGTAATATAATTATTTTCGAAAGTTTCTGAGTCTGTCTTCAACACAGAACTACGCAAAAAATTCTACTTCATGGTCCATGAATCTGATTGCTTCATGGATACCTCTGACCCCCAGCTTATGTTCAAAGCATAAGGCTGAGATGTGGACTTGGAATTTTCAATACTATTCATCTGTTCTTTTCAGACCAAGGCAGAAATCCAAAAGCCATAACTGGAATCTTTCCTTCAGGGTCAAAGTTCTATAACTTCCAACTGTTAAATCTGCCTTTAACTTATTATCCTTTTCTATATTTTCTCTTACTTAAATTATGCATCATTTTGAGTTTATAGTATAGCCAAAGACATGATTTACATGATTTACTGATTTACATAAAGAATGCTTTCAAATTTATTAAATGACAAAATCATACATATTTGTCATCTTTAATATGGTATGCTGAATGTGTAGAGGCCATAATGAGCAAACAGACGTACCCAAATCAGGCTCAGAATGGCATGCATTACCTTAAATATTTGTTATTATTGTGGTAAAAACTTTTCAAACAGATCCTTCCAGAAGTTTTCATGATATAATACACTTATTAATACAGCTACCTGCTGTAGGATGAGATCTTGAACTGCTTAAAAATTGTGTGAGCTTTGACCAAAATGGCTTAACAACTACCAAAGTTTTCAGTGGCCATGTTCTGCTTTACTTATGTGAATTCAATATTTTTAGATTCAATATGGAATTTACATCATGCAATATTTGTTTTTCTGTGTTTATTTCACTTAAAACAGTATCTTCCAGGATTATCTAGGATGCTATGAATTATAAGACTCATGCCTTCTTTCATAAGGCAATATACACTATTCAACTGAGTTTCCACACCACATTCCCTTTCCCTGCATCCACTCATTGATGATGGGTTGACTCCGTATCTTGGCTATGGAGATCAAAGATGCAAAGAACATGCAATACAATTACTAAATCATACAGAGTTTTGACTTTTCATTTTTTTTCAGAGCTGAGGACCGAACCCAGGGCCCTGCTCTTGCCAGGCAAGCACTCTACCACTGAGCTAAATCCCCAACCCCTCGACTTTTAACTTTTAAGGATCTTCCACATTGCTTTTCTCTAATAGCTAATCTTTACCTTTGTATGTATTCTCATCATTTGTATTACTTATAACATGTACTCGACCAGGTAAGAGGTGATATCTCACTGTATTTGATTTGCCTTTATGATAGCAAGGTTCAGCATTCTGTCTTCCATCTATTAGCCATCTGTATGTCTTAATGAAATTCCTTAGCTCATTTTTAAATTGGTCCATTAGTTTTATTACCATGTAGAGTTTTGAATGTTTTACAAGATTTGAAATTTGATGCCATTATTATTAGTAGCACAGGGCATAGAACTATGTTCTCTCAATACTTTGGACAGTCTCTTACCTCTGGAGACTTTTCTGTATTGCTAGGAAGACTATCTTTAGTTTGGTGCATCCTCTTTTGCTTATTTTCAAGTCTCTTGCCTGTACTTCTATGGTCACTTCCAAAACCTCTGCACAAGACAGGGCTTCTTTGGTTTCTTCTAATTGTTTTACAGTTTCAGCCATGTTATTTATATCTTTAAATCTTGTTGAAAATTTGAACCCAGAGCTCACTGATTGATAGGCTGTCTAGTCAGTGAATTCTAGAGAGCTGCTTGTCTGTGATGCTGTTGCAGTAAAGTTACAAGTGTATACCATCACTCTCCGCTTTGATGAAGGTGCTTGGCTTCGGAACTCAGATCACAGCTGTGCTGCAGGCACCATGCCCTGTTACACCTTTTTCATAATATCAACTATCTGGAAATATACAGTATGCAGCCCTTTTGGATTTGCTTCTCTCATTTTACACATCTTTTTTTGTGTATTAAGAGTGCTTTACTTTTCAATGTTGAACACTGCTTTTTTAGCTAAGACTATCAGTTTGCATAGTCACATGATTTCCTGGTTGCATCTAAGTTTTGGCAATCATGATAAAGACTGTAACAGTCATTAAGTTTGTGTATATTGTTCCCACAATAGTTTCAATACACTCAAGTAACATTAAGCAGGTACTACAGATGAAGCTCACATCAAGAATGTTTAGCTTTGTAAATTGGAAAAAAATGTTTTCCAAAATGATCACACAGGTTGGCATATCAGAATTTGATGATGCTAGGTGTGTAAGGTATTTTACAGTATTTAAATTTATAATTTCCTAATGGCATAATGCAAAATAGCTTCTCAGATTAATATTGGCATCTAGAGATCTTCTTTGGTGATGAATCTGTTTATGACATTTGCTCACTTTAATGTGTTTTTAAAAGATTTATTTATTTTGTATATCTATCTGTCTATCTACAGGTACATATATTCAACTTGGATGAGCTGGTACTGTGGAACCGAGAAGAGGGTGTCAGTCCCCTGGAATCCTAAGTGAACCAAACCCAGGTTCACTCCAAAAAGAGCAAGTGTCCTTAACTGCTGAGCCATTTCTCCAGCACACTTAATGGATGCCTTTGTTTTTACTTGCCTATGTTTCATCATTTCTGTACTTTAGATACAAGTTTTTTATTAAGGAACATGTTTCACAAACATTTTCTTCCAGTCTGTATGTTGCCTTTTTATTTCTCTAAAGAGTGTCTTTCTCAGAGCATAAACTTAGTAGTTTTATGTTTCTCTTATTTTGAGATGGCAGGAACATATAAACAGTCTCACACTTGCTTTGGAACCCAAGATGGCCTGAAGCGCACAGCCATTCTCTTGCATTGGCTTCTGGAATGCTGGGATTATGTACATGAACTTGTAGATCCAGTTTAAAAGTTTTCATTATTAGTCAAATCTAATTTATCTTTTATTGTATCTAGAAAGTCTCTGGCCTATGAGGATACCTGCATTCACATGTATATAAACAGACAGACAGACAGACAGACAGACAGACACAGAGAGACAGACAGACAGACACACACACACACACATACACACACACACACACAAATTAACAAAATTAACTTTTCTCTCTTTTGATTGTTGTAATTTATTATGGTAATTGTATTTTGATACCTGATCTCCTGAAGTCCACTCTAGCCTCAAACTCAGCATGTCACTAAGGGTGGCCTGCAAATCCACAGATCTTCACCTTTCTTATTTCTACTTCTTGGTGCTGATACTATGGATGTATACCAAGTTGTTCCACCTTTCCTATTGTAAGATGATTATATCAGGTGTTTTGTGGTGATTATGAAAAGCTGGCTGTGATGATTTATATATGCTCAGCCCAGGGTGTATGTAGCACTATTAGAAGGTATGGCCTTGTTGAAGTAGATGTGTCACTGTGGGAATGGGCTTTAAGACCCTCCTCCTAGCTGCCTAAAAGTCAGTCTTCCACTAGCAGCCTTCAGATAAAGATGTAGAACTCTCCGTTCTGCCTGCACCATGCCTGCCTAGATGCTGCCATGTTCTTGCCTTGATGATAATGGACTGAACTTCTAAATCTGTAAGCCAGCCCCCAATTAAATGTTGTCTTTTATAAGACTTGCCTTGATCATGGTACCTGTTCACACTAGTAAAACCCTCACTAAGACACTGGCTAAAACATTTTTCCCACAGAAAGTAATCAATATTTTGTGTCAATTTTCAAAAGAATTCTTTATAATATTCCTTTATTATCTTACTGAAAATGGGTAAGATCAGTAGTATCATTAGCAATTTGTGTTTTGTTCCTACTTATCTCTTGGTTAGCCTGATTCAAAATTTAATTATTTTATTTCATTTTTGGCAAAGGGTCAACTTTTGATTTCACTGATTTCCAAAACTGGTTTTCATACTTATTTGCTTCTGATCTTATTTTTAACGATCTACTTGTTTAGCTTCTACTAGATGGATTTAAGAAGTTCTTCTTTTTCTAATACATTCTTAATGTTCCAACTGTCCTTACAAACCATACTTTCTCTGTAGGTTCTGGTGACTTACATCTTTACTTTACCTTCAACTACAATATTTTAAAGTTCCTTTTAGGAATTTTTCTGTAACCCCTTTTCTTGGCATATGTTCTTTGATTTTTGAATATTTATGAGTTTCCCAA